TTAGCCCAGTTTAACTAGAGTGACCCCTGAGCCTTTTAGTCGCGAGAACAGAAACCCGGCAGGTATTTCTGGACAAGAGTAACATTTGATATCTTTGAGAATCAGTTGACTGTTTATGGTTGTATTTATTTTTGGGATCTCTGTTCCATTGGTCTTTGTATCTATTTTTAATTAAATACAAGACTATTTTGAATACACTTCACTGTCAAGTTGGGACATCACGTCCCATCTTCTCCTGCCTCAAAATAAGATTTATATCATCACTCTGCTGTTTCTCAGGTCTTCAGACAGAATTATACCAGCAGGTTCCCTGTGTCTCTTGCTTTCAGATGGCACATTGTGAGACTTTCTTGGCCTCCATAATCATGTAAATCAATCCCTTGAAGATACCAATTTATGACTTTCTCTCTCTCTGTTTGTTTGTGTGTGTGTGGAGAGATTATGAGGATTTGTGATCACAAACCCTCATAGATTTCTATTCCTCTCTCCTCCTCCTCCAGTTGTGTTCACTGGTACCTGCAGAGCATTACTGGTTGCAGGACTCCTCTTGAATACCAAATTCTGCAGAAGCTTAATTAAGTCCCTTATATAAAAGAACATAATATTTGTATCTAACATGAACACATGCTCTCATATACTTTAAATCTTCTCTAGATTACTTATAATAGCTAATATGCTGTAAATGCTATGTAAATAATCATCATCAGATAGAAAATTGGTGATACAGAAAAAGAAAATGAAAAAAACCCACATTGGAATACAGGAAACACCTATGAACCTTTGAAATGCAAATCAAAGTTCTGAGCAACCTGTCCATGTCCTTGGCCAGAAAACTTGCCCTCAGAAAGTAGCATAATATGGGTCATACACAAGTACAAGGAAAACTGGCTTGAAATTGTATAACTCTAGACCTCATTTGCTAGCTATTCTCTAGCTAAATATTAATAGACAAGACCAAAGAGTTGCTGTCTCTTCTGGAGATGGCCCTATTCTCCCTTAAATGTGAGTTCCACGCTATACCAAAGCTTCTCTTTCTCAAGATGTGTATTTCTTGCTTTACCCCAAAAGATGTCTCTCTATTGAGAGAGCACACATTCTACCTTGAATTGTGTATTTGCTTTCCTAAGTAAATCTAGTTTTGTCTCTGACTGGTGGTGCTGAAAATATTTTCCTTCACATATTCCAAGGACCTCACTTGTCTTCAGTCAAGGGCCCCTTCTTTGGGAACTCTTCCAGTGATAATCATGCTTTATTTTTTAGGGAATCAAGGACACAAAATCTGCACATGTTCAGAACAGATGCTTCCCCCCAGCCCTAATATTTGTGATACATACTTGGATTGAATTTGTGAATGAAGAATGCAGATTTGCTTTTAATCTTAAAAAAAAAAAAAAAGTCCTGGAACTGAGCTGTTTGTTGTTTTCTACAATAAAATATATCAGGCACTAAATTTATGGTTTGTTTTTAGGGTCTCCGTTCAATTTTTAAAATTCTGTCAACATTATTCATTCTTTGTGGGTTAAATGTTTCAAAAATTGAACACGTTAATTTTTTTCATGCATAATCTAACATAACTTTATACATGTTCTTTATTGGAATGACATTCTGTTAGGAATACTCCATTGTTTTGAAATTTTACAATTATTATTTAGTAGTATTTCTTTGTGATACCAGTTATTGAAATCAGGGGCATTCTACCATTGAGGTGCTTCTCCAGCCTCTTATTTTCTGAGAGAAGGTCTAACTTGCCCATTCTAGCTCTGAATTTGCCATTTCCTGGCTCAGGCTCCCCAGTTGTTGGGGTTACAGTCCTGTGTCACCGGCCTGGCATACGCTTATTATATTCAAAAAATACTCTTAATCATGGCATTGTACTTCCTTGAAGCAGGTGCCAAACTATTTTAATGCAGCAATATTTTACATATTGCTATTTCTTAGTTTTTTTTTTTTTTTTTTGGGGGGGGTGTTAAAATATACTCGTTAATTTAGGTTTTTGTTTAACACTGATGAAGTTGACAATGCTTTTGTAATGTGCACAATACACTAAAGAGAGAAAAACACATTTTGAGATTTTTATTGGAATTTTTTCAACGAATAGTCTTCCTATTAATTTCAGTATCGCAGAGGTACGAATCTGTACTATTTATTTTCTTCTTTCTCATGTGCTCGTTTTCTGATTTAGCTTCCATTTACCTTTGAGTGATTTTGATAAGCTAGGTTTCTTATTCCGCGACCACTTTTTTCCTCCCAGACACAATCTCTGATGGTGTCAGATGAATTTTTTATTGTATGGATTTATCTACTTTCCAGTTTCTAAAAAGTGAGATTGACAGACGGCTTTCCTTTCCTTGACAGTTCTGCGTGTAAACTGCACACAAGCCACACAAGGAACTAAGAATCCGTAGGGGAACCAGGGATGGTTGCTTGAGACACCAACACGGACCTCAAACCCTAGAGCTAAATCCACAGTTCCCCGCAATTCCTAAGAATTATTGGTCGCGGGGCCTCATGGGAAAGGTAGTTTTTCATTATTGCGTCGGGCCCTGCACCGCGTTTTGCGCATGCCTCATTTCGTCTGCTGCCTCTAGGACTCCGTCTTCCCTGGTTTTATTCAACTCCTGAGTTGGTCGGGTAGCAGAGTCTTCGTAGTCTTCTGTGGTCAATGCGACACGGCTGGGGATTGACCAGTGAACCCTGAAAGGCTGGGCAAGGAACGAGGGGCCCCGAGAGCGGTCAGCGGCCGGTATCTGGCGGTAGTAAGGAACCTTGTGGACCCCGTGGCGGGACCCTGGGACTGCGGGGTCTTTGTCAGGATGTGAGGCCCCGTCACTACAGATTCAGTGGCGCGCTTGTTGAAGTTGTGTGTGGGGCCGCGAAAGGAGGAGGTGTGCACAGGAGGAAGTTTACTAGGAGCTCCTGGAGAGGGGGCGATGCTGCAGGGAGAGCCTGCGTGAGAGCTAAGGGTTCTTCCAACGCCTTGCGTGGGAGTTTGGACTCGTTAGTCACTACGGATTTCTTATCAACTTTGTTTAGGCAAGTTCTTTTTCCTTGGTTCTTCATTCTTTAGAGATTATGAACTGCTTCTCTATTATGTTCATCACTGCATCTTGATATGTGCTGTTTTTCTGTCTTAATTCTCCTAAAGTTTAGGAAGGATCTACAAGAATTATCTTTTTATTTCATTTGAAAAGGAATAAGAAAAAACCCTAAAGGTTTTTGCATCTCAGGATCATACTTTGTTAGTGGCCAAAACTATTTTGAGATCTCCTGACTCCCAAGCCAATCCTTTCTACTTTGTCATTTAAGTGAAAGGAAGTTTCTTATTAAACACATGTTGAGTAACAGCAACAAAGTTAAATTTAGAATTTTTTTTTTTCCTCGTGAAGCATTGCTTTTTGTGGAGTCACTAATCAAAGGTTAAATAACACTAGTAGGAAAACTGATAGATATCAGTCCAGAGTATTATTTTACAACTGTGAAATGTTGATGTTACTTCATTAGATGTAGTAATATAATTGACCAGTATTATTGTTTTAATATTTTTGTGAATCCTTAGTATTCACAAGAGAATTCTGTTGAGATCCATAGGAAGCAAATATTAACTTTCATTCAGAAAAAAAAAAAATTGTGCACATGAGCTACATGATTATATTAGAGTCAGGTGGTCTTTCATCATTCCTCCTGATTATTCTGAAGGGTCAGTGGAGTGTTGGCATTATTCTAGGTTATTATTCATTAGGTCACTGGCATCAGTAGTAATTATTATTCATTGTGTCATTAGGCAGGTTACAGAGTTAGCAACATTATACAGCTACATGTTACTTCTCAGTTACATGTTACAGTTAACAGTGTGCAATGTTAGGACTTTTGTGAAGCTCTTAAGAAAGTCCATTGTTTAAAGTTACTGTTTTGTGGACAGGTTCAGGCTTAGTGGAGCTTGGTAAAACATTGTGGTTGTCTAACAAGAGAGTTCCATTATTCCTAGGAGCTGTGTGCCTGAGATCAATTCTCCCACAGGAATCATTTTATCTAGTGAATGAGTGTAGCTTTTTAGGGCAGGAGAATTCATGAGCTGCTGAGCAGGCCAGATCTTTTATGATCCCATTCCCTTTTTGCTAACTAGCTGTGTCTTCAGAGTTGTCTACATCTTTCCAAGAACAGCACAAGATGAACAAGGTAAGTTGTATGTTTATTTGTCCTTCATGTTATTTTACAATGGATTTTGAAAGATTTGTAAGAGTCAATGTGAAGATGAGAAAATTGTAATAGATAAAAATCCAATTTTGCAGAAAATATAAACCAACAGATAGGTTGTCGCATTGGCATGTTGATATATACTGACTATATAACCTTAAAATCACTCAGGTGAGCTGCAAAATGTCTCTTGGGTTTTCAACCATCAGGGCAGATGAGTTTTGCAGCAGAAGACTGAATCCTATGAAAACAATGGTATCTTTCTGAAAGATACCTTTTGTTTTTAACAAAGATACATAGTGAATAACCTTCCAATAATAGCCTTATATTAATGCAGTCTGTTTCCTTAAACTGTTCTTCAGCAGTGTCATTAGGCAGGTTACAGACATGGTTCAAGACATGGTTCAAAATAGTGTCAATTTTCTGAATGGTCTTGTATGATTCTGGCATAAAACTAGAATGTTGAGAGGAAGAAATGGCCTGTTATGTATACCTGTAACATAAACTTTACATAGCTATCTTATATTAGCCAGGTTTTGTATATAGGTTATGTAGCATACATTTCAAAGTTGACATTCTGGTAAATGTTTCTGAGTCTCAGTCACATTTCCTCTCATAGTATGTAGTATTGTTTCTACACTTTTTTTTTGGAGTTTATCTAAATAAAGGTCAATCAATGACTAGATTGTGGTTGCATTCCTTGAATAAGTGCTACATTATCCTACTGATTTTTGTCCTTGGATGACTCCTCTGTCAGTATCTGATAGCATTCTTTTGATGCTTTGTTTCTGGAGTCTTCCTTATCGTGTTCAGTTCCAAGTTTTCATACTTTGTCTTATAGTCTTGTTTTGTTGAAATACGTACATTAAAAACATATAGCTGGTGGAGCAATACTGTTTATTATTTTGAGTGCTTTTAAGTGTCTTCAAGCTTAGATGATACACATTTTCCCTCCCACTTCACCAGTAGCTGTTAAGAAATCAAAAGGGGACAGAGGAAAGTTGCAAAAGCAGAATGAATGACAGAATAGCAGGATGGCAGAAAGGCAGAAAGGCAGAAAGCCCCTTGTCCAAGCTGCCAGCTTTATTTATATCAATAGGTTACATTAGGTTACTGGCATCAGTAGTACATTATTATTCATTGTGTCATTAGGCAGGTTACAGAGTTAGCAACATTATACCGTTTATTTCTCAGTTACATACTACAGTTACAGTGTGCAATGTTAGAACCTTTGTGAAGCTCTCAAGAAAGTCCATTGTTTAAAGTTACTGTTTTGTGGATAGGTTCAGGTTCAGTGGAGCTTGGTGAAACATTGTGGTTTTCTAACAAGAGAGTTCCTTTATTCCTAGGAGCTGTGTGCCTGAGGTCAAGATTGAGGCTGATAAGACTCTAGCACAGAGCCTCCTCAGGAAGGGCATTGCCATAGCAGCTAGGCACTGCATATGTACTAGTTATCTTACTAGTTCCTGGGAGAAACTGCAGAATATTCCAAGTGTGGAAAACAGGGTGCCTGTTACCCCCCCCCCCCCCCCCCCCCACCCCCCCAGGAGTTTGCTCACCAGAGGAACGCTGTCCTGTACATTTCCACAGCCAGAATCCTTACTAATAATTTCAGATCTGCTCATGTGTAGTTTATTGTTTCTTGTATTTTATCAATGTTGTGATGTTTTGTACTTTAGTTGCCCCCTGCCTTTCTTGAAAAGATTGGTTCTATAAATGAAAACCTGATCATATAATATGCTCCTCTCTCTTCATTGGCTCTCCTCTTCCATAGCAGTATTTCCTAAAATAAAGAAATGTACCCTAGAGATATCCAAATCAATCCATTTGGATATTTTGTACTGAATATCCTACAGATGTTATAATAGATCCCAAATCTTTCCATTTTCTATACATCCTAATTATAGTCTATAACTTGAAGGGTTAGAACCTGGAATATGTATTGCAGTGAAGTAAAATGTTAGACATTCAAATTTGTGTGTGTGTTTGTGTGTGTGTGTGTGTGTGTTACCCCTGGGATTAAACTCCAAGAGCATTCTTCCTCCGAGTTACATTCTCACCCCTTTTAAAAATTTTGGGACTCACCCTCCCAAGTAACTGGGATTATAGGTGTGCACCATTATATCTGGCTATCTTTCTACATTTTAAAACCTAAATGAGAATTAAAGTGAAATTCATAAGAAATGAATTGACAATTTCTGTAATTTGTGTTAATTGGTAGTACTCAAAAATATTCTTGCAATGGTCATATACTGTGGAGACTATTAGTCTAAAATTACTTCGTAATGAATTCCTTGAATACTTCCATGGCAGTATCTCATGACAGCACCAGACCATGTTCTCATGTCTTCCTCTGCCATTTGCCCTATTGCTGATTTCTTCAGTGTGTAAAGTTCCCTGCCTTTGCTTGTGCCATGTCTTGTAAAGAATACTGTATTACTCTTCAGCCAAAAGCTGTGCTTCAAAATAGAACTCATCTTGCTCCCAATTTATATTAGTCTATCTTGTATGTACTTTCACTTTCACATTTACAACATATTCTGTATATATTATGTTTTTTTTTTTTTTTTTAAATCAGGTTGTATGGTTCTTAAATACAAGAAGATTTTTAACAGTTTTTCTATTTCCAGCTACTATAATAGTTCCAGGTACATTGTGAGAACTTGCTAATTTTTTTCGCACATCAATTCATACCTTAATGCAATAGTAGAATATTCCTATTATTGTTTCTCTTTTCCTACTGATATATAAAGCAAAAACAAATATCCTGTAAATCATCTTGGTAATTTGTAATCAATAAACACAGTGAGGATCAGTTCCATATGTCTTTTTCCATGTCAACTAATTATGAACATTTCAGGTTGAACAGAAATTCCAGGAGTTAGTGTCATTTAACGACGTGACTGTGGGCTTTACCCAGGAAGAATGGCAGCACCTGGACCCTAGCCAGAGGTCCCTGTATAGAGAGGTGATGCTGGAGAACTACAGTCACCTTGTCTCTGTGGGTAAGACCTGTTTACTTACTGTGTAATTCCAAATAGCATTTATTTATTTCTTTAATTATGAAATATATGGGAATTCTATTTAGTTTAATAATATTTGAGATTGGAATTCAGAAACCAGTGTTGATTGATCACTTATGGGGCATCGAGGATAGTTGTGTTCATCTCTCTAGTAAAATGTTACAATGGCAGTGGGTTTTCCTCTCTGTCAGAGGCCCTGACATCTAGGCTGCCAGCCAAGTCCATAATTATTTCCTGTTGATAGGGTATTGTGTGACCAAGCCAGAGGTGATCTTCAGGCTAGAGCAAGGAGAGGAACCATGGATATTGGAGGCAGAATTCCCAAGCCAGAGCTTCCCAGGTAAGTTAATCTCTATTGTACAGAGAAACATCAAGAGATTTATTATTTTCTTGTAGTTAATTCAGGGGTTGGCAATTGTGGAACATTTTTTAGAGGACTTAATCCTTACTGATTCTTAATTCAAACCTCCAAACACCATTCTCAAGTATTTTTTGATTCATTTAAAAACTAATTTCTATTTTTAGACCTGCCCATTGTCTAGTCTTTGCTTGTCTTATGTTTACTGTTGTTTTTCTTGGTTACTTTGTGCTTCTCAAAGCAGTTTCAGTTGCCCACTTTAACTTCCATTGTTCTATATTCCTTCTGTTGTCACACATTCTTTAATATACTCATTTTTTGACTCAACAAATATTGAGTTCTTGCTATGTGTTAGTCATTTTCTAAGAACTCAGTATATAGTAGTGAAAAAAACAACGTCTAAATGAATTTATACAAGTAGTACTAAACACAAAACAGATACTTATGTATAGTCAGTGTTCTGTGGTGATCAGAGGAAACCTTAGTGCAGTTAAAGTTAAAGCAAAAACTTTAATGAAATGATGATATGAGCTATGAAGACTGCGTTTTTTTTTTTTTTTTTTTTTTTTTTCAGTAAGGTGAAATAATAGCTGCTGAGCCCATGAACAGGAATGTGCTTATGTGTTTCTGAGGAATAATAAAAAGTCACAAGGACTTTGGGGAGTGATTGATGGAAGGAGAAATAGCTGATGATGTCACAGAGGTAGTTACTATACAGAAGATGAGAGAATCATAAACTCTGTTAAGTAATTTAATTTTATTGATGATTTTCTGCAGATGAGCAATGTGTGATGTATATTGTGTAAGACCTCTCTCAACTCTATAGAGAAAACATTGATATAGATAACAAGGACAAAGAAAGTTCATTAGTTCAAAGTTCTCCTTATGAGTGATTATGATGACTTAGACTAAATTGGAAGGCATGGAAGTAAGAAGTAATTTGATTCTCTTGATATATTGAAAGAGGGGCAACAGAAAAAGACCTCACAGTTGTAACAGTAACAGATGGAGAAGAGAGAGGTATTTAAAGTATTTGAGGAAGAAATGACTGAAATCTTCTCAAATTTAACAAAACCATAAAATTTTTCATTCAAGAATCTGAATAATATCAAATAAGATAAATCCAAAGAAATGCATGCTGAAGGCACATGATGATCAAAGTATAATTATTAATCATAATTAATTTATTAATCATAGTTAAATCCAAAGGAGAATTACCTGTAGGAAGTGACAACATATTTCTCATCTGACACCATGGTGACTAGAAGAAAGTAGTATCTTTTTAAGTACTGAAAGAGAATAACATCAAACAAATATTCTGTCTTGTGAAATGCAGTTCCATTATTAGACAAAAGCTAGCAAATCTACCTTTAAGAAAATGGCTAGTTTTCTAAATAGAAAGCAATGAGACTTGAACCTTCAGAAAAGAAATTGAAAGTTGGCAAAGATAGGGGTAAAAGTAATAGAGTAACCCTCTTTTGAATTTCTGAAATTATATTTGAAGATTAAAGCAAAATTTATAGTGTCACATGATTCAGTGCTCTCTGTAGAAGAAATATGTAAGACAGTTATATTTAAGACATGCGGAGGGTGAAGTAATTTAAATGAAATTGAGTTTTCTACATTTCATATGAAATGATAAAATATTGATGCTGTTAAAAAGTTACATAGGTAACTAGATCAACTAACTACTAAGAAAAACTATAGAACATGAAATACTTAGTAACACCAAATATGCATTGATGGAATATAAGAAAACAAGAGGAACAAATATGAGAAATATAGAAACCAAATAAAATAGGAGTCAAGTGACAAAATTTGTCTTAAATATAAATGATTAATATATATTAGATAAAATACATATTGATGGTAAAGAAAACAAGAAGCATTACTATAAAATATGTTATCTGTAGAAAACTCATAGCATAGTTACTAACATAGTTTGGTTAAGATCTTGAAAAAATAAGTTATACAAAATTAATCAAAACAAAGTAAGAACGGTTCTGTAAATTTCAGATATGGTAAACTTCAAAATCTTTCTTCCTAATGGATGCCTTTATTTCCTTTTCTTTATTATTTTCACTGGCTAGAAGTTATTCTACAATGTTGACTAGCATTGGTGAAAGTAGGAATCCTTGTCTTATTCCTGATGTTAGGAGGATATCCTTTATTAAGTTGTGGAATTTCTATAAATGCCCATTATCATGCTTAAGAAGTTGTCTTCTATTCCATATTTCTTAGTATGTACCATGAAAGGGATTGCATTTTGTCAAAGCCTTTTCTGCATCAATCAAGATGATCATGTGTTTTTTTTTTTGTTTCTATTAGTGCAGTCTATAACATTCATTTTTTTGTGTTAAAATACATTTCTGGGGTAAGACCCATGTAGTTATAGGATATAATCCTTTAAATATATAGCTAAATATATGGTTGAATTTATTTTGCTGGCGTGTGGGTATGTGTGTGTGTGTATGTGTGTGTGTGTGTGTGTGTGTGTGTGTGTATAATCTACCATCTATAGTCATAGAGGATATAGGTCTAATTTTTTTCCTGTATTTATCTTTATCTGGCTTTTGTGTTGGTAATAATACTGACTTCATGAAATTAATTAGGAAGTTATTCCTACCTTTCTAATTTTTGGAAGAATTTGAAAACTGGTGTTAATTCTTTAAATGTTAGGTGGAGTTCATCTGTGAATCTATCTGTTGCTTAACTTTTTCTGTTGGGCATTTTTTGATTACAGACTCAATCTCTTGTTATAGAGCTTGTGAGATTTTTCTGTTTCTTGTTGAGTCAGTTTATTTCCAAGTATTTATTTCATCTTGGTTATCTAATTTATTAACCTATGACTCTACAAGGTATATTCTCTTAATTCTTTGTATTTCTTATAGGTTAGTAAATAATATCTCCATTTTCATGTTAGTTATTCACGTTTCCTCTCTTTTTCTCTTTAATTGTCTAGATTTAAGATTTGTCAATTTTGTTTATTTTCTCAATGAACCAACTTTTGGTTTTGTTGATTCTCTGTATTGTTACCCTGTTTTCTAGTTTAGTTTTCATTTCAAGGTCTGTTTCTAATCTTTATATCCTCTCTCCTGCTAGCTTTGGGTTTCGTTTGCTCTTCTTTTTCTAGTTACTTAAAGTGTAAAGTTAGGTTATTGAATTGAGTTCCTTATTCTTTTTTTTAGTATAGATTGTATACAGCTTTAAATTTTCCTATGAGTACTGCTTTCACTGCATTCCATAAATTTTTATAAGTTGTGTTTCAGTTTTCATTGGTGTTTCTAAGCATTTTGTAATTTCTCCTGTCCTTTGACCTGTCCATTAAGTGTTTAATTTACATATATTTGTGAATCTTCCAGTTTTCCTTACTATTATTATTAGTTTCATTCCATCATGACTAAAAAAGAACTGTATAATTTCAGTGGTTTCAAATTTATTGAAACTCTGTGTGGGGGGAGGGAGGCATATCATGAGGTTTATCCTGTCATATTTATTGGCTGTTTGTATTCTTTTGAGAAGTAGCTCTTTCATTCTTTTGCCTGCTTATTGATTGGGTTATTTTTTGTTGGTTTTGTTTTTTGGCTGTTAAGTTTTTTTAGTTCTTTACATATTCTGGATATTGATGCCCTGTCTGAAGAGCAGATGGCAAAGTTCTCTCATTCTGTAGGCTCTTTCTTCACACCCTTGTTCCCATTGCTGTGCAGAAGCTTTTTAACTTGATGTTGTCCCCCTTATTGATAATAGGTTTTACTTCTTGCATTTTAGGAGTCTTGTTAAGGTAGTCAGTGCCTGTGCCAATATGTTGGAATGTTGAGCCTATGTTTTCTAGTAGCAGTTACAGTGTTTCTGGTCGAATTCTTAGGTTTTTGATCCACTTTGAGTTGACTTTTGCCAGAGTTAAAGATAGTTTCATTCTTCTACATATGGATATCCAGCTTTCCTAACATCATTTGTCAAAAAGGCTATCTTTTCTCCGGTGTATGTTTTGGCACATTTGTTGAGCATCATATAACTGTATCTCTGTGGATTTGTCTGTGTCTTCTCTTCTATTCCATTGGTGGTCTTGTGTGTTTTTATGTCAGTTTCATGCTGTTTTTGTTACTATATCTTTATAGTTAATTTGAGGTCTAGTACTGTGATGCCTACAGCATTGCTATTCTTGCTCAGGATTTCTTTGTCTATTTGGGGTCTCTTATGCTTCCAAATAAGTTTTAGAACTGATTTTTTTCTAGTTCTGTGAAGAATATCATTGGTATTTTGATGGGGATTGCATTGAATCTGTATAACTTTTTTGGTTATACACCCATTTTGACAGTGTTAATTCTTCAAAATTTTTTCTTTCAGTGTTCTTTAGTTTTCATTTTAGAGTTCTTTGACCTCCTTAGTTAGACTTATTCCCAATTGTTTATTGTTTGTTTGTTTTGTTTTATTTTTATTTTTATTTTTTTTAAAGAAAGAGTGGGAGAGAGAGAGAGAGAGAGAGAGAGAGAGAGAGTGAGAGTTTTTTAATATCTATTTTTTAATTCTCGGCGGACACAACATCTTTGTATGTGGTGCTGAGGATCGAACCCGGGCCGCACACATGCCAGGCGAGCGCGCTACCGCTTGAGCCACATCCCCAGCCCCTGTTTTGTTTTATTTTTTGAGGTTATTAGGAATGGGAGGATTTTCCTGTTTCTTTTTTAGCAGATTAATTACTGGAGTATGGGAAAGTGATTGATCTGTGTATTTTGATCATGTATCCTGCTACTTTGCTAAATTTCTTTGTCAGCTCTAGAAGACTTCCGGTAGAATTTTTTAGGTCTTCAAAATACAGGATCATGACATCAGCAAATAGATACTTTGACTTTTTTTTTTTTCCCTATTTGTATCCCTTTCTTTCTCTTGTTGGATTGCTCTGGCTAGAGTTTCAAGACAATGTTGGATAGGAATGGTGAGAGGGAACATCCTTGTCTTGCTCCTGTTTTTAGAAGAAATGC